TTTCCTAAGTATTTCTGCTATTCATTAGTGCTTTTACAGAGTGCTTTCAAAATCGTCTAACAATCAGTACTGAGCTGCTTCATTTCACGTATGAAGATTCTGAATGGAGCAAAACTAGTAAGAGAGGTGCTATATTTTAAGTAACTCTGCCTGTAACATGAAGGCTGTTAAGTAATTCTAGTACCTTGTATTAATTCCCACATATGGTATAAGGTCTAAGTTCTCAGTTTTTTTAAAGACTAAAAACTGAAGTAGAGTGACATATATTAGTTAAGGCTTGAAGGAATCATTTGTTCAGTTCAAATTCCAACATAACACAATGATTCATTCATTCTGCCTGACAAATCACTGAGCTGGGATATATATTTTAGGGAGACATTCTTCTAAGGGTAGACTTTGAAGGGCTTTTCTTGTCATGTGTTAAGCAGTTCCTGGTTCTGCTCCTGTATGGGAACAGTTGAGTCATGGCCTGAACCACTGATTCATTACCTGAGGCAAGCACTGAGTCAGCTGTGGGAGCACAGGTGTGAAGGCAATTTACCTGTGTGACTGGAAGTGGTGGAGCCTGGCTGCACCTCTCCTAGACCCCCACTTAAGGGCTGACTGCCACTGGGGAAGGAGCTCTTTCTGGAGATTGCTCCCTTTGGAGTTTCTCTGTGAGTCTAGGATGTCTGAGCATTTTCATTTAGTTTTTTTCATTTAGTTTTGATTATCTCTTTCCTTCTAGTTACATGACCTGTAAAATAACAACCTAACTGTGCCACTCTACTAATTATGTATTTGTTGATTGTACAGCTCCTTAATCCAAATGCCAAACTACTCTGCCTTTATGAATATCAGTCCTTTGAGCTGCATGCAGAATCAAACTGGAGGGGAAGATGACTTTTTTTTTCCCCTTTTTCTGGGTTATTTTTAGTTTGGGCTCAAACAGTTCACCATTCAGCTACGCAACCAGTTATGTGACAGAACAGAGAGAAGCACATGGAAGGAGGTATAAGCTGTAGAGGACAAGGAAAGGGTTTCACAAAGCAGCTCCGTTATCTGTAGTTGCTTTTCTGCCTATTTTTCTTCTCCATACTGTAATTGGCAGAAGGGAAGGCAGAGCTGTGGATCTGAGGATCGCAGTCTAGTATGTTGGTGTGAACTAACTTTCACAGGCAATTAAAAGCAAATATGCTAGACTGTGAACTAAGCAGTTCTGTTGTGGAAATGTCCTCGGGCAGAGGGGATGGCAGGACAGCTGGGTATAGCAATGTATTAAACACTGCAGCTGTTTTTCTCTTGCATTTGAGAGCTCTTCAGTATACTGTGTTAAACTTACCACTAAATAACTTGTTCCAATACAACTTCCTATGGAGTTATGGATATTATCTTTCTGAACTTAATTTTTGCTGTTATCTCCTTCCTGTTATTTATGTTCTTAAGTGTCTAATTTCAGTACTAGAACTTAGTATTTAGACCACAAGTAGGATTTTTGTAAGAGTGTGTGTGGACTAAATTTCACATGTTGTCTAGTTTGCTGAGCTATACTATAGAGAGGAAAATGGAAGCACTGGTTCAGGGTAGGAAGTTTGGAAAATGGCAGCATGGAATTAAAAGTCTGAATGTTTTCTTATTGTTATGGGAAATTCCACGAATAACAATTTGTGGAATTGAAGACTAACATTCAGATTTTTAAATCGGAAGGTAAGCAGAACAAATAAAGTATTTTACTTTAAGTAGTTAGAAGTTCCCAGTAGATTATAGCTCTATTTCACTGTTAATTCAAATAAATGGACAACTAATCAATATTTTCCAACATCAAACAGATTATTTTTGCCAAAAAATCATAAAATGATTTCTCAAATAGAATAAGATTAATGCTAGCAAGTGTACTGACCACACTTTCAAGTGACCTACGCTTAATCCCCATTAATCTTAAGAAAAAATGTTGGATATCATAATGACAGCAATTAATAGAGGAAGCATACATGAGATTGTGTATGAAAGAAAATTCATTTTATTGCTTGATTGAATCTGAACTGTGTTGTTTTTGTGGACTTTCAAACAATGAGAAAAATGCTAACTGTTGTTTCAGTATTTGCTTATGAATAAGCATTAACAAGGTAGTGCTTTCTTTCAAATCTTCTGAATGGAGTATCTCGGGAGTTCCCTCAGTCCTCTAATCCATAAAGGAATCAAATTTATAAAGATTTTTATTTTCAGTCTGTAACCTATTTACTGTAAACATGTTATTAAAACTTATTTACTGTAAACATTTTAAGTTTTCTAGTACATTTTGAACTTTAAATGGCATAACAGAAAAGCTAGTAGACGCTGTCTCCCAAAGCAAGGACTGGGGGGTTCAAACTTAATCAGCATCTCTGAATGTTTAATAATAGTAGGATCTATTGAAGAATGAAGAGCTAGTAATGAGTCACATGTGCTTATCACTTATCTGTAATAAAGCAGTATTTCTCATACAGATGTTTAAGATAAAAGCTTCAGTGGTTAGAAACAACCGCTTCAATTTCAGCATAAATTCAAGGTACTGACGAAAGGAGTTGGACTGCCACTAACCTAACCCAGAGAGAAAATGAAGGACAATTAGTTCATAGTTCAAATTATTGTTCTAGTTCTTCACACAATAACAGAAATGGCTGTGCCAATCCAAGAATGAAAGTAGGCAGCAAGAGAAGTGCGTGCTGCTGCTGCAGCAGGCTAGATTTGTATGTATGGCTTTAGAAATGAAACTCACTGGCTAAAAGATGCTGCTTCCTCAAATAGTTTAATGATTTGTTTATAACAAGTTAAGCCACAAGGGAATTCTTAACAGGCTTTGTTTGCTTTCTGAGTGAGAGATGGCTCCACCTATTTATTCACTAGAAACACTAACATCAGTAAGGATTTGAGTGCAATAGGAAATAATATTGAAGGATAAAAGTTATCCCCAGATCTTCATTTTGTTCCACAAATACAAACCTGATGATGGAGTCAGAATAAAAACAAATTTCTGGCCAGATCTCTGAGCATGCATCTTGATAGCTAAACAGTGCAAAGAGTGAAACTTTGACATTTTTATAGACCTCATTTTAGGGAAAGTAGTTTTATTTAAAATCATTATCACATGTCTACTGTGTAAATACATTTATTAAACTAAAAAAAAAAAGGTAACTGGCAAATACCAACACATTCCATTCCTACTGGTGCTTAAGCTGTGATGAAGTGCAAGCTTGTAAAGCTGCTGTGAGGAAGAGAAGTGGTTATTAACATCAGAAGTCTTGTGATTACGTACATTAGCCAGAGGCTTCCTGCATTAATATGATGGTGAGAAGAATGTGTGAACCCTGAGGATTTCCCATGGAGTCTCCCATGCTAGAATCAAGTCTGGTTACATTGCAATAAATTAATGTTTAGCTTTTAAATATGTTAAAACTGCTACTTGAGCAAGTAATACCAGATACTGCTTCCTTCAAAAGAACTTGGACAAAATTCTGTATTATAATCAAAGATGCACATTATAATCAGTACCTTGAAGAATGTAGATTTTTCTCTAGTTTTCTATTATCATTATCAGTCCAAAATTCCTGGATGCTTCAATACACATAACAGCTCTTAGTTTTTTCCTGAGTCATACTTAGTATGCAGTGAGTATTAAGTTGTCACGGAATTGAAAGTGATGGTATGCAGTTATAAGGCCACATTTACCTTTAATGCTGAGTAATAAACAGTGCATGTGTATAGCCATCAGTGGATTTGTCTCTCCAATCTTTACATGGCTGGATAGGATGCAAATATTAACAGGTAGCAATAAATCAGCATAACTTCAACTGCTTTTGCATTTGAGATGTGGTATTGTCATATAAAAATGATGTGTAAACTACAGAATGGGAAGGCATGAGTGAATGGAAAAATGGTTCAGAAAATACATCAGTATGACTTATGCCCTACCTCTGTTGCATTGCTGCATCTACTCCCTGGTCTTTAGAATATCCCTTTGCATTTGCACATGCAGAATGTCACAGGCTTTGCATTTACCAAGGCTTAACTGAGTATTTGGTGTTTAAGGGATAAGCTGAAAAGGGCTGAAATTGCCTTACTTTTTATCATCTAGCAAAGCCTGGACACAAAGAGTACTTAAAGAATAACTAAACACTTCAGTGCTGGAATAAAGCAGCTGCTCTCACACATGACTAAGATCACATGCACTAAGTGAAAAATATATCCCCTAATGAACATATGCCAGGAACTGTTTTGATCCAGTCTTAACAGAAATGAAACATTTATGTCCATGCCTGCCATATGGGAGAAGCACATTTCATGATTACTCCCAGCCTCTCCTTCCAAGGACTGACACAGAGCACTAGATGAAGTAAAATCACTTCAGATTATTCAGCAAAACATTTAAATGTCTGCTCTGTAGCTTCCTGGTGTCACCTTTCTGTTGCATGCCCATAATCTTGCTAAGCTTGTGCAAACTACTGAACTGTAGAGGGAAGTGATGCAGAAAGCGCAGCCATCTGGGCCTGCTGAATAGGAAGAGAAGAAAACACTCACTGCAAGAGTGTTATTAAAGCCAGGATTGCTTTTGCAGGAGTGCCAAATCTTACTAATTAATTTTCTGATTTATTCTTCAGTGAGAGCCTGGCAGTGATTCTATTATTCAAAAAGCAGTCACGGTCTATTTCTGAATCTTAAAGAGAGAGTCTCTTTACATCTTGTGGATTTTCAGTACTTTGTGACCTCCTAGCATTTGGTTTCCAGATACACATCTTTCCTTAAGACTCATCCCTGCCAGAATCCCTGCTGCGGATTGCTGCCACAGGCATGCGGTGAGGCTGGAGGCTGGGCCAGCGTGCCATACTCTTCCCCAGCAGCCTGGCCCAGCCTGCCCTCCTGTTACAGTCAGAGGCTGTTGCTATGACAAACCTAATCATGGCTTTTTTTTTTTTTTTTTTTTTTTTCTTCCAGCAGCAAACCCGCTATTGTTGTTGCGAGTTCAAGGACAGGAAGGTACGCACCTGCCTCCAGAGCGGGCCCGGCGGGAGGGCGGAGCCGGGCTGAGAGGGAGCGCTGCCCCGCCGCCGGTACGGCCGGGGGTCCCTCCTTAACTTATGGGTACCAGTAGGCTCTCGGCTGGTTCTAGCGGCCAGCCGAGTAGCAGACAGGAGCCCGCTCGCGGTCAGTGGGACGTGTTATTCATTCGCGGGCTTTTGCGTAATTCTCCGCGGTCCGGCCGCAGGAGCTGCCCGCATTCCAGCGGACACGCGCGGGGAGCCGCGGGGCAGCGCGCGACACTCTCCTCCCGCCCACCTCTTGGCGCCCACCCGCCGCCCCATAGGCAGAGGGCGGGGATAGAAGCAGCCCCGCCCCTCCCGCTCTCGCCCCTCTGCCCCCGGACGGCCGCTTTCCTCCCCTCCCTGTGGTGCGGCCGGCGCTCGTTGCGTCCCCGACGCTGACAGCTGCCGGCTCGGCGTTGCGCGTCTTACGCGCTCCTCGTCCTCCCTTCGCCGCCAGCGCGCCCAGCCGAGCCGGCGACGCGGCTCCGTAGGCAGGCCGGGCGGGGAAGCGCTCCGCCTCCGCCCGCCGCCCGCCGCGGGGATGTGTGATTGCCATGGCGAGGCGGCTCTTCGCGGGGGCCTGGCTCAGGAAGCCCCACCACGCGCAGGTAGGCCGGGGGCGGGCGGCCCGGAGAAGCCGTTGGCGGCGGTTTCCCTCGCGGCGTCCCCTTACGGGCGGGCGCCTTCAGCGCGTCCCTCGGCCACCGGTTCTCCCTTACCCCCCCTGCCCGCCGCCGGGGCCCGGCCGCGCCGTGCCGTCGATCTGGGGTGGCGACGGCGCGGCCGGGGGGGGCGTGGAACAGGTGTCGGGCGGGAGCGGGGCGCCGCGCGCGGGCCTCCCGTGCAGCCGCCGAGCGCTGCCCGTAGGTGGGAGCTGTCAGCCGGCGCTCGGGCGCGGGGCCGCACGGCTGCGGAGGGTCGGGGAGCGCCCCCCTGTCCGCGCCCGCAGCGCGCTGAGTCCGCACCGCTCCTCTGCTGCCCGGCGGTGCCCGCTGGCGGCGTTCGCCTGCGTGTTATCGGCCTCGCTCCTGCCTCGATGTGCGCAGGTAGGCGCGGAAGGGTGCTCTGGCCGAAAGCGCCGTGGTTTGTGGTGCAGCAGGAAGTTCTGCTGCGAGACGTCGGCGAGGGCCTGGTGGTACGCTGAGGGGTGTTCTCTGGGTTTCCTTCTGTCTGTTGCACTGTGCTTTAACTCATTTGAGGTTCAGCTGAGTTGAGGGGGTAAATGCCATATTTACATATATGTGCTACTTACGTTTGTCACCTATTGCTATATTACTAAATGCTTTCTACTAATTGGCTTATTGAAAAAGTGTGGGCTTCATCCTTATGCATTGTAAAAACCCAAGTGCTTTAATTCCTTCTCATCTGGAGCTTTTCTGATGCCGTTCTCTTTTTGAAAGTGCCTGGAATGAGATGTCAAAGCTGAGGAGCAGTGTTTAGGTGCAGGTGTAAGCTCAGCCCCTGCAGCATTTCTGTTCACAAATGTAGATCATGTGTCACCTGATTTTTGACCAGGAAACGTTGTCCTTGATCTCCTTAACAAAGCAGACACTTTTTAGTTCCCATAGGAGGAAGTCTGTGGCACGCGTGAAGTGAAAATCAGCTCACCGTGCCTGTACCCGCTTTCAAACTAGGACTCTGCTAATTGTTGACCCTGCTATAAGTTCTACTTTGTTCATAATATGGTGATATTGGATAACTGTTTCTATTTATTCTTCTCAATATTTAAAGGCATTGTTAGCAAAATGTATGATTTCTGCCAAGATCATTTCTTAGTCAAGTCAGAAAGTTAAATATTTGTGTCAGTTGGAGATGTAGCAAAAGTATTTTTGTTGATGCTTTCTCACACTAAAAGCTGTATCGGAATATTTTACAGATTTGTTTGGAAGAGAGCTAATGTGAGCTTTATGAAAATGACCTTTCTTTTCTCTTACATAGTTGAATGTGTGCTGGTAGTTGATGTCCGCAGAATGGCAGCATGCTGTCAATGTATTGACTTTGTGACTGCGTGTTGCTGTTGGTACGTGACAAATGCATTCATGGTTGAGCTGTACTGATTACTCACGGACTGAGTTTTTGCCTGCAAAGAGGCCACTGCTCTCTAAGTAAATGCTAGACTTAACTCACTGAGATGTAGCTGTGGTGAGATGATTAAGACTTGTATGGTGTTGCTATGCAATATTTAATGTGGCAGACCAGGGAAGAGGGTTGTACAATGGAAAGCATTGCTGACTGACTTCCAAATTTTGTTGGCTGGTGTTCCGTACTTTTTGAAAATTGTGCTGTGGAATAAGTTGAGAACATCAAGTTCTGTGACGAAGAACTTTATACCTACTCTAGATTTTCTGCTCTGGTAGTGGGAGCAAGATGCTGTTGGTTGGTTTGCAACCAATGTTCCGTGCCAAGTGTTCTATTATTATTTATTGTTATTATTTGACACACACTTTAGCTTGCTTGCAGTATGCACTAATCCGTAGGTAATCGCTCAGCCTTTCTAGCTAAGGGCAATCAAACAGCCTCACCTCTTAAAGTGAGCAGGACAAACTCTGAGGACATCTTGGCTCAGCTCAAAGTTTAGTGATTGGGATCCACAAAAACAGTGCTGAAACTTCATTGCAAAACGGGCAGTGACTGTGAAACACAGAATTTTCCCACTGTTTAGTCTGCAAGACTTGTAATAGTAGAAAACCAAATAAAACCAGAGCAAAAAGCTCCAAACCTTGACAAACTTCTAAACACCTAAATAATGCCCCAAAATATCAGTATTATTTATTGGCTGTTACAGTTGGGAGACTAACGCTGTTCTGCAGTGGTGATTAACGTTTCTTGAGAAGACATGAATGTCCCAAATTCAGGAAACGTGGTTCCGAATTTCTTTCTGGTAACTGTAGTTAATAACTGTACTGTGAGGCTGAGGTCAAGCCAGTAGGATACACACATCAATAACGTTGTAAAGAACACCGCTATGTTTGGGAGCTTTCTGGCCACTAGAGATTCTGGACCTCCTTTACAGACTCTATCGGGATGTTGTGTAACTGCCTGTAATGTAGAAGACTTTGAAGGCCCAGGTTTCAAAGGCCCCCTTAATGTATCATCATCATTTCCTCCAAGCTTTTAATTCTCTTCTTGTTGTTTAACCTTTTAAGTGGAAACACCCTGTTTTCTTTCTTGATTGCTATCCTTTATTTCAAAAGATACATTCTATGATGTTTGCTCAGCTTGACTGCTTAGGATACAAGTAAGTGAAGATGACAGCGTAATCCAAAGTGTGCACTGTAAGCTCTTAGAAACCTGAAATGCTTGCTATAAACCATAAATCAACCTGAACTTAAAGAGATCTGTAACATGCATACAATTTTTTGGTTCTCTCCTATTGCTGGTGTGTTGAACAAACTGTGTGAGTAGTTTGGAGTTTTGGAGATGTTTACTTGACTATGGTTATATGAAATACTTGACTGCATGAAGTTTTCTGTAGTGCAAAATAAATGAACACTTCCATACTTACTAACTATAAAAATGTTTTAAGTAAGAAGTACTCTTATCAAAAAATTGGCAAATGGTTGCATTGCGTCTGGATCTGCTACTTTCCATATGCTTTGGAGTGCATCCAGGCTTGAATTCTGCCAGAAGAGGCTTTCCAGTTCTGTTCCAGGGAATGAATGTCTAATTCTTATTCAATGCACATGACTCAGTTAAATGCACAAGTGATGGATGAAGTTGATGCTGTAATAACCTTTTAAGTGTTACAAGTGCTTTCCTTTATCCTTGTGTTCCCTGACTTGTGTTTCATGTCTTGATGGAAGAGTGGAGCATAAAAGAGAAATTATATTTCCTGGTTTTGGACTTTCTGCCCTTTTTGATCATTTCAGAACTCTCAGTCCTTCTGACATCCTGAATATTAACAGTTTTCTGGAAGTTCGTTGTGATTCCAAATGAAGCTTGTCTATAAGCATTGCTCCCTAATTTCTATCTGGGACTTTGTGCTCAGAAATATGCTCAAAAAGCCGCACGACGTGTGCAGTAAGTGTGGTGCATTGAGGGTGTACTGGCACATACATGGCCTCACCAGGCTTACTGAGTCTGTGTCCTCGCTGCATTAATGCTGCACATCAGTTCTGGCACTTCCTAGATGAGCCTATGTTCTTAGATTTTAAGGAGAAAATGCAAAATTTTTAGAGAGAATTTGTGGGAAGAGACATAAGTAATTCCCTCTAAACTGAACAGAGTAGAACCTCGTGGTCCTCTGAGCAGCTGCGAGCTCTGAACAGGGAGTAGTGCTGGAGACCCATCAGTCAGAAGCTGTGTGCCTGCATTGGCACAGTGCTGAGCCTGAAATAAACACAGCTCCTCCAGCAGCTCCTCCAGAACCTCACGCCAAGTCTATGATGTAGTCAGATGGCGTTTGGGGAGGGTTTTCTGTCCCAAATGCATTCTCTCTGTCTTTCTGAGACGGAGGACAAATTTGGATAAACCCTTATACAGAGGATTATTTCCTGTGCTATGAATACAGTTGTTACTCAGCCGTGATCCTGAGGCTTGTGGACGGCTGCTAGCCTCAGATTATACAAAATGCTATGCTTGTAGTGCAGAGCTGCTTTAAATAGTGCTTGGGAGTAACGTTTAGTATTGTAAATGTGCATAGGAGGAAGTGGCAAGAAGCTTTGAGAAAGGGGGGCGGTTTGTTGTCCCAGTAAGATTTGGGAGTAGTTTTTTAGAAATGAAACAGCTTTGCTGAAAAAAATCAAATTTATTTCAAATAAATCTGTATTAGATTTTATCTGCAATACTGTGTGTTGGTGTCTGTATTTCTCCCATAAGGTATTAGAGCTATTAGAAGTAACTTCTCTTCTGGGCTGTGTCTCTAAATGAAATCAGTATCTTTTCTTTCAGATAGATGGAGGATAATCATTAGCATTTACTTGTTGTGATTCTTGGTTCATAGGAACTTGATTTTATTTGAGGAGAGAAGGAATAAAGAAAATTATCTCACTAGAATTTTTCTGTAATTCTATTAATAGAAGAAAAATTTGTAGAGAAGGGTCTTGTGACCCTTTAGGCTGTAGGAACAACACTGTTGAAATTTGTAGAAATGAGGAAGTGATGAAATCAGTTTTCCCTGTAGGTGTTCTGCAGAGTTTTATTAAGGACTGCGTAACTAAATAGTTCTGAAATATTTACTTCTAAAAACAAAAATCAATTTTGGAAAAGCAAATGCTGTTTTTCCTCCTCACACTTTGCCCCAAGCATCCCACTCACAGCTGTGGAGCAGTAATCCCTCATACATTTTTATTTAGAATCTGTAAATCACATCTGTGTCCTTGTGGTTGTTTGTTCATAATCATCTGCAACTCGTGTTTTTTCAGAAGTTTTACAAGCTGCTGTCTCACACAGATGTTGCTTGATTCACTGAAAACTGCGTCGTGTAATGGTTGGTATCCTTTCTTGTTTGTGGGTGCGATTTCATGTGACACAAGAAGTTCTTGTGTTACTTTGAATCTTTGGAAGTGTGCATACTGAAGTTTAAGATCCAAACTGGGGCTGCTTTGAGCTTGGAGGCCCAGGAAGACATGCTGGTGATTTGCAGTAAACACATCCAGAAATCCTGTGCTGATGCAACTTTAATCATGGGCTGTTCTTGTTCGTGATATTGGAGATTTAAATGTGGAATACTTCTCAAATTATAACCATTTCTGGCAAGTCGTACTTCTTAGGCAAACAAAACTAAAATTTGCTTTTAAGGGAAAGTATGTGGAAGTGCCATAATGTCTGGCATTCAGCAGAAGAAAAGAGGTGCCTTGCTATAGCTTCTGCCTTTATTCAGTTACTTTGCTTTGGGATAGTATCCATTTTATAGCAAAAGATGAGGTTTTTTTTCTTAAGAAAAGTGTTTAACATGATGGGAACAGGAAAATAAGCCCTGGGTATGTTAAACTTCCCCATTTGAAGGAATAAGATTTCAATCTGCTCCCCATCCTGTATGTGAAGTGGCAGTTGGTGAAGCTGTTTCATCTGGGCACTGCCACCAAGCAGAGGTTCTGAGATCAGCCATTTCGGTGAGGATGCTGATGTCGCGGCAGAGGAGGTTCTTCAGGCACTGAGATGAGCAGGGAGGCTCGCGCTTCTTAGAGAAAGGACAGAAGCAGCTCTGCACCAAGTGATGATCTCTGTCCTTTGGGAAAATTGCACTAAGACACAAATCTTCATCCTCAAAGTTTGTGTTAGAATAATGAGATAAAGATGGATTGCAAAACTAGACCAAACTGAGTTCTCTACAAAAGGATAAGCCACCCTTAGGGAGGATATTGGAGTTTGTGAAGATGTTTTGTTTTTAAATAATTTGCTGTGCCCATGGATTTCAGAAAGAAATGGTGGGAGTGGTGATTTCCCCCCCTATATTCTCTGTGAAACTTGAATAACAACTTTAAAGAAATGGTTGGAATCCATTATAGAATACATTATGGGGTAGTCATGGACTTAGACTGCGTGAAATAGGTCTGTGGCTGCCCCAAGAAAGCTAGGAAAATATAACATTAACATTTAACAGCATGTTTATAAGCATTGGCATTCATTACATGTGTTCCTATCAAATGTAATTTTAGCATTGCTGAGTTGTAAGTTGAATCAGTTGAATAGTCAATCCTAGCAAAAAATAAGTATGAAAAACTAATGAACATGGCTTCGCTGAATAGTTACCAGTCATTGAATATGACCTGATTTTATCAAAACATCACGCTTTAATTATAAAAAGCTTTTGTACCTCTCTTCAGGTACTGCTGTATCTCGCTGTCCTTGCAAAGGGGAAAATTGTTCTTTGTTTGGTGCTGTATTGGGTTACAGAACCATTAGGCCAAAGAAAAATAAGCAGGAGACTCACCTAGGCAATCTCAGGAGCTGCTCTGTATGCACTCATTAGTTTCATTACTATGCTTAAACCAGTATAAATAAAGTTTAGATTATGAATGCATAGGTTTTAGTGGGATATAAGGACAAATAAAAGAAAAAAAGTAAATTATTGCTTAAGTCTTTAAACTTGCACGAATATACTGTGGTAGTTTTTATTTGCAAGTGCTACAGCTACTATGTAGTGTCTGCCCTTCAACCAGGGAAAAGTATGAAGGTGGCAGAAAAAGCCCAACACATAGTGCTCTCTAGACAGTGTGAGAAAAATGTGATTGTGTATTCACAGCAGAGCCAGAAGAGGCAGCCATCCATACTGTGCCTTGAATGCTTTGGCTCTGCTGGTTCCATTCACCTCTTGCTTCAAACCTGTGTTTCAAGAGACCTCTGCTGGAGGATTGCCTCAGAGCTGGCGAGCTGGGCTTCCTGTGCAGATTTGCTGGGGAAAGATCGATCTTTGTTGTTGTTTTGGTTTATTTTGTGCATCAAAATAACATGCCTGACAGTAAAAAGTAAACTATGCGGAGAATCCATCTGCCCTGCTTACACCTTAATTTGTTCTGAGGTGAGAACAGGGAGTGAGACGCCCCTGAAGACTTTGCTATGCTGTCTCAGCGCTGTGAAAGAGGGATTCTGAGGGCAATGAGTAAATTCTGTAGATGGGCAGTAGCTCAGGACAAGGATTCTTCAATAGGCAAGTTGTGCTGGGAGGACTGAAGAAGCAGACGAGGTGCTGAGTAGTGTTGGGACCTGAGGCTAATATTGTAGAGTTGGATGGTGTAGAAATAGACAGCAAATGGCTGGAAGAAAGAACAGCAGATGATGTGTGGCTTGAGAGGATTGTCAGGGCAAGCAGCTTGAGATAGATGTTGAAGAGAAAAAAAATAGTAGGTGAAAATTACAGGTGAATAATATGGAAAACGGACTGGAGTACAAGAGAGATTGAGCTTCAGCTGAGCATGAATGCAGATATCATCGTTCTCTTATGTATGGAGAAAATTATTCCTGAACCCATTGGTAAAGTATCCATTCTTGTTATTGCTGGTTCACATCTCAGGTGACTCTTACTGCTTCTCATCAGTCTGTTCGAGTAGTGTGGTTTGCAAAGTTTGTGATTCTTAATGTTGAAAACTTGTAGATGTGGTATTGCGAGGCTAGCAAATTAGGTTAAAATCTTCCAGTTCTGTCCCTTCAGTAGTGTTCTTTCAGAGAGAGCGTGGTATTTCTTTTTGACTCTCCCCAACCCCTTGCCTCCAGTATTTTTTTTTTCTTGGCTGTTCTGTACTCATCAGCCCGTTTTCTCATAGGTTTTCTAAATTGTTTCTAAACGTGCTGTAAACCACACAGCATTATTGTTGGTCTCCTTTTGTACTTCATCCAGTTCAGGTCTTCATATCCATGTTGTGGATAACATACTTCAGAGGAAATTATGTGTTACTCCAAGGGTCTTCATGGCTCTGGTAAAAACAGCTTAAATTGTTCCTCTCTTACAACACTCCCTATAATGTACCTTCAAAGAAAAATTGGTTGAAGGAACTTTCTGGCCAAGATGAATCCCCAGGAAAAAAACGTAGCTAGGTGAATCTTTTTTTTAAGTAGGCAGTTCTAGGTTACAGTTAAGTGGGTGTGTGTGGAGGAACAGCAATGCACAGCCACTGTGCAGGAAAGGGGCGGGCAGGACTGCAGCTGCATGGGCTGGCATCGCCTCTGGATGTTGTGGAACTGCCTTTTAGCTGTTTACCTCTTTCCAAGTGGAAATGGTGCTGGTCTTGTCTTCCACCTAAATAAGTCAAACCGACCTCCCCTGGCATTCTACTTATTTTAATCACTGTGAAAGTCAAACTCATTTGCTTTTACTGCTCTTACCACTGCTAAATGAACAAAATATTTTTTCTTTGTGTCCTCTAGGTACGTTTCTCTTATATGCGGATGAAGTATCTCTTCATCTCTTGGTTAGTGGTGTTTATTGGCAGCTGGGTCATGTATGTCCAGTACTCTACCTACACAGAACTATGCAGAGGACATGACTGTAGGAAAATAATAGTAAGTATGTTTAGCACAGTTTGCTTCTTAAGTATTTGCCTTGACTAGTTCCACAGCTCTTTTGGTCAGTGCCATGCATAAATTCATCAGATGCTGCTATTCTGTAATGCTGAAATAAGATCATACCTTCAATTACAGATAACACCAGTTAACACAGTTTTAATACAGTTATTGAAATTTTCTTTGACCTTCCTCCACTTCTTTTTTTTATTTCAAGAGCGAGATGTTGGGAGAGAGGTGGATATTGCTTACTTGAATGATTTGTTGAATATTTTTGTTTGTTTCAGTGTGATAAATATAAGACTGGAGTTATTGATGGATCAGCATGTAGTAGTCTTTGTGGAAAAGAGACATTGTATTTTGGAAAATGTTTGTCAACAAAGCCCAGTAACCAGGTAAGGCTTTAATCATTCATCCTAACTTTATCAGTTCCTACTGAAATGTCCTGTATGCACGTGTTACACCAGCTTTTCTCTCTTGGCTTCGATGAGAAACAGACTTCTTGGCTGAGAGGCTAGAGGTTGTAATGTAGCATTTCCCTTCTGCAGGTTGTCTGTCCTTATAGACACTTAAATAGAGAAGCTCTGTCACAGTGGAAAGAAATGCTGTTCTGCTCATGGTACACTCTTTGGACTTCAACATGTGCTTTATGGATGGTAACTGCTGTGCTGCAATCTGAGAGTGTTTGAGGCTGGTGATAGCTACATTGGCCCACCTCCCAAGGATTTGGATGAGCTGGCTAAGGCAGCAGATGTGATTAGAAGAGTTGCAGGCTTTCTTTTGCTTGTAGGGCATTAAGCAGTAGTAACTTTTCTCATGAGGTGAATAATGCAGTTGTAGAAAGAGATGTGAGGATATCAAGACAGACTCAGGAGCAAGAACCAGCAGCCATGGCAATAGCCTCTGTGTAAGTTGCTGCAGCTACCTAACTGCAGTTTCACATCAAAGCCCAAGTATAGCACAGATATGTTATTGTTAGTCGCTCTTTTTCTCTGAATATGTTCCATGAATGTATTCAGATAGGTAAATATTTGACGATTGGTGTTATGTGGATCATTTTTGTCTAGCTGTAAACAAAGAAATATTCCACTGACTGGATCCTCGTGGACGTATATACTAAACTAGCAGTAAATCTATAACTGCCATCAAGACTTTTTAATTTCATAGTTACAGAATCCAGTTTCCAAGGAGATGATCAGATCCTTGCACATTTGGACAGAATACCTATACTTCTGTACAGCATACCATTTCTGCACTATCCTGCTTCTCAAACAAAGTCAGCAGCCTCTTAGCCCAAGCAAAGAGTATAGTAATGCCAGTATACTGTTTCTCAACCTGTCTTCATATTTTGATAGGGCAGCATTCCTAAGTCCCTGCATAATGTATGTGAAGCTGCCATTGTTGAATTTGCTGTCTGTAAGCAGGACTTGGTTTTCTGATCTGTGCTGCTGCTCAACCACAGGGAGTGGTAGAAGTTTGGATGATGCTTAGGTGAAGGACTTAGGCAATGATTTTATCTTTTCCCCTATTTTCTTGCATAGATGTATTTAGGAATTTGGGGAAATCTGCAAGGGGTTATAAAATGCCAGATGGAAGAAGCTGCTCAGCTTGATTTTGGTACTGATCCAGAACCAAGGAAAGAAATAATCCTATTTGATAAACCAACAAGAGGAACCACTGTAGAGAAATTCAAGGAAATGGTTTACGGTTTCTTTAAAGTAAGTATATGCCTAGCTATTCTATTCTGACTGAAAGGCTTTTAACAATTGTTTATGCATTACAGTGGCTTTGTCTCTAAGATTGGGTGTGCAACAGACTTTTAGATTGGAGAAATGAGGAATGTTTGTGTGACTTTTCTGCATGCATTGGTAATAGTTGAAATTACAATGCTTCTGATTCCAACAATGGCTTTTTTCTTTATGTTGTTACAATGGAAATAGCTGTACCAAATAGCAGAATAAAGTATTTCAGTACATTTAGTCTGAATTCGTGCCAAATAGCATGGTACTCTGTATGAAGTGTAGTGGATAGTGTTATTTCTCTACAACTGAGCCTTAATCAGCTGAAAACCAAATTCTGTCTATATAATACATACTTACTGTAAGAAAATACTTAATGAGCTGCTCTGTTTTTCATTAGACTGGCCTTTAGAAAAAGACTGCCTTTTGAATTCTAGTCCTTGCATGCTGAAATGCAAAGAGTGCTGTTACTTTCAGATCATACACTAGGTGCCTTGGAAAACAGAACAGAAAGGAAGTTCATCAGACATCTCTAAGCAATAAGAACTAGAACATGATATACTCTCTAATACTAAAACAACAAAAAGATGGAGAACTACAGGTGGATTGGCAGTAGTTAATGAAATCATATATAACCTTTTTTTGTTTGTTGTTTCTAGGCAAAGTTGGGTGAACAAGGAAATCTTTCAGAACTGGTTAACATCATTCTATCTTTTGCTGATGGAAACAAAGATGGTAGAGTTTCTTTGCCTGAGGCAAAGTCTGCATGGGCACTTCTGCAGCTTGATGAGTTTATGTTAATGGTGATGTTGCAGGATAAAGAGCATACTCCCAAGCTGATGGGTTTTTGTGGGGATCTCTATGTGATCGAAAGAGTTGAATATACCTCTCTCTATGGAATCAGCCTTCCATGGATCATAGAACTTCTAATTCCTTCTGGATTCAGGAGAAGCATGGACCAGTGGTTTACTCCATCGTGGCCAAGGAAGGCAAAAATAGCTATTGGACTTTTAGAATTTGTGGAAGATATTTTTCATGGACCTTATGGTAACTTTCTTATGTGTGATACAAGTGCCAAAAACTTGGGATATAATGATAAATATGATTTGAAAATGATGGACATGAGAAAAATTGTGCCAGAAATGAATTTAAAGGAAATGATTAAAGATCGCCCGTGTGAATCAGATATGGACTGTGTTTATGGTACAGACTGTAGGACTCTATGTGACCAAAGTACAATGCGGTGTACCACAGAGGTTATTCAGCCAAACTTGGCAAAAGTGTGTCAGCTACTCAAAGACTATCTGCTTCGTGGTGCACCTTCAGATATCCACGAAGAACTAGAAAAACAACTGTATTTGTGTATTGCCCTTAAAGTCTCAGCAAACCAGATGGAAATGGAACATTCTTTAATACTGAATAACTTAAAAACATTACTATGGAAGAAAATTTCCCACACAACTGATTCTTAGTTTCTCCACCAGCAGAAGATACTGTCTGCCACTCGGGGTGGCCTACCATGTTTGATAAAAATGATCTGCAGCATTTTGTAAAAACGTGTTCTCAGATTTCATGAATGGCTCTTCAACTCTTCCCTTCAGTCAGTTCCTTGTTACAGGGCTTCTGAAAGGATGAACTTACCACCAAGCGATCCGGCAGAAGCCAATAGCACTCATGGTGTTCCAGTGCACTGCTGGGAAACAAAAACAATCCTGCATGCTTGACTGTTCTGTGCACTTTGTTGGAGCTTGAACAGGATGCCATCACATCAAGTAATACAACGTCTTAAAATTCTGTGAAAATTGTTGCTCACTTGTGAAATACCTGCAAAAGATTTTTATGAGGAACCACCGCTATTGCAAATATGGTGGCTGAGTCCAAGTTGCTGTTATGAATAAAATGAACTGAGATTGAAGTTTACTAATACCTTGGCATGGCAGAATTTGCACATCAATAATTTTTAAACTGTGGAAAAAATTAAAATTTTATTCTGGAAATGATAGGTTGTAATATGAGATTTAAATTGAATTCTGTTTACACCTTGTTACCTCATACTTTCATCTTGAATGTTTTAGTTCAACACTTGAATAGTCCTGATACAGTACACCATGTTAGGAGCCAAGATTTTTAGAATGTTACTACTTAGAACATACTTGTATTTTACATTTTCAGAAACACATTGCTGCTAAATTATTTTTAGGTACTGACAGCAGAATCATCCTAAGTTTTAAAAACAACACCAAAAAACCCTCCACAGTAGGACGGTGGTTTATGACAAGTGAAAGAAGTAACAGTTGTGGATGAAGTCTTACTACTGCCCACAGAAATACAGCTATATGCTTGTACTGAAATCATCCTGAATTATTGCAGAAATTATGCAAGTCAGAACTAGATCATAACTGCCAGACAAGGTGGATTGCTCAGGACCCCAGAATATTGCTTAAATGGGGACCCTGTGACTAGTAACAGCTAGGGACAAGGTGGAATAACGGTACTTTGTAGTATGTTTGTGTTCTGCTGTTTGTTTTTTTCCAGTAATATCTGAGTTGAAACTCTCAAGTCTTAAACACTGATCCAGGCACTGTACAGGGCATGACCACTGCACCACCTTCAATCATCAACCCTACTGTTCTACAGATTTTCAGCTTGTAGAGAGAGATGCATAAGACACCTTAATGCCGTGCTCACTGCATACATTTAATTTATATGTTTTAGGTATGAAGCAGTTAAAAACCTTAGTGATTTTACTGGCAGCTGTCCTTATCCCTTCACATAGCTGACCCCTTTAATCAGTTACAGCATAGTAAAAATGAGCTTTGTTTCACTATTTTAAAAGTGGTTGAGTTGCTTGAAGGTTCTATACTAAATGCGTTCCTTGACTAACATCAGGGAATTTCTCCACACTGTATGTAATAATGTGTGGCTTGGGCTGTGTGCTATTTGTAATCAGCTTTTTAGTTGAAAAATTACTTACTGTTTACTATTATCTAATTTAGTTTTTATAACTAGCAATGCACTGTAATCTAAAGCAGGATATTCTTGGTGGAAACACGACTAATTGCTACAAGGTTTGGGGCAAAAAAAATTACTGAACCCAAAGTACCAGTGGGCATTTTGAACAGCTTCTTGGAAAAACTAGAAAACATGTAATAGTGCAGTTTACTGTACAGAACCTCTATTTTTATTGGTGTTGCACCAAGCTGGAGCTGTAACTGAAAAAATATATATGTATACTTTTGTTTCCAATTAATAAGAGGCTTCCTATTTTTTTTTCCAATAGGTAGACTTCCTGTCATCAGTATTGTAAAGCAAAGAGTTCATCAGTGTATCCTACTTGGTGAAAGCATGCAAGCAATTTCAGTATCTCAGTTTCACAGACAGCTGTAGAATAAGGCAAGCTATAACCTCCATAATTAAGCAAACATATTCAACTTCAGAGTAAGTTCTCTTGTCTAATCCCTAAGTAATAGAAAATATTTAATCTTAAGATAGTACCTGCTTCAATAGCAGCCAGAACCTTTAAGTACTTATTTCACTTTGTGGAGGAATGTTCAATATGTCAATGTGTACTGCTATCAGCTATACTCATTTTCAGTCTGGGAAGCACTACTATTCATGTTCCTAAAAGCTTAAGGCTATCTGCAGTGGAGGTTTGTTTTCCTTAAGATACATATACATCTCTCATAGCATTATGTACACTGAAATTGTACAGAATTGTCAAGTGCCTGTAAAGATTATTTATTTTTAAGTCATCCTCTAGTTAAAAGGAACAAATTCCATCTAGTCACAATATAAATTAATCAAAATTATTTCCCCTTGCCATGGAAATAATTCTAGTGTGGTAGCTCTGTCTTTACCACTTACCTTCATTGAATGAGTTTGTATTGAAAAAAAACTGTAAGGCTCCATAGTATGTGGATTATAAAAAATATTCTGATATTTAAGTTGTATTAATAAGCCAGTCTTACACAGTTGCTTAGTCAATAAATTTATTGCCACTTTTTCCAAAGCTTCATAGAAAATTGTGGAAGTTGTCTTAACTGTCAGCTGCACGCTCCTGGGCCCTGAGGAAGCTAGCCTTCTTCTGAGCAACACGGTCTTTCTTCTGGGCGAGGGACATCTTGGTACTGTTCACTCTGCAGTGTAAACACACAATATAATATATTAACCAAGAAAGAGGCAAAAGTGGCGATGAAGGAAGCTGATAAATATCAAAACTGTGACTGAGAGTTCTGTGCTAGAACCACTTCCGTGTCATGCTCTATTTCTCAAGTTCTTTAGTTAAGGCACCACAAAGAAGTTTCTCAGGAGGTAAGCTCTTAGGGGACGAGGCACCATCACGTCCATTCCAAAATCTGTGCCTCCTCTGAAAAAACTGAAGTAGTTTAGTGCTGACATGTAAGTCAGCCTGCCCTCTCCTAAAGGGAAGTAGCCTTGCCCCTGAAAACATCCAAGTGTTAAAATACACACTTAAGGAATTCCAGCTATTCAGGCTAAAGACATGCTTTACTGCTCAACTTTGTTGCTGTTGGTTGTTTTTTTTTGTGTTTTTTTTTTTTGTCACAGTTAAAAGCTTTTTCTTTCCTGACAAAGTTATATATAAATCATTGTATCTTAATCTCATCTAAAAATGAGTGCCATAGAAATCAGTCCACTTAGTGCCATCATTAATTAAAATCTCTTCAACAGAGAAGTTAAACTTCATGTTTACCTCTTTTTCTTGACTTCTCTCTTGGGTTTCTTTTCATGGACTGGATTGTCCCGTATAGCAGCATGGGCTTTCTTATACATTTCTTCCATCTTGAAAAAGGAAAAGTTGTTACAGTTCTCTAGTGGTGCATTGCAAGGTTGTATCAAGTACTAAGACATTCTCAGCATCGAGGGCACTAGAACCAGTTACCATCACAAAACAGCTCACAATTATTCTCTTTAATAGGTTTCCTTCATGCGAATCACTGTTAAAACCTACTAGAATTCCTGGCCATCACAAGAAGTATACAAATATTTAAATATTAAAAATAAGTTGGATACAAAACTGAGGAATTACTTTTATCCTTAACTACAGACTACAGGTCTCCAAAGCACAGGCTAGCATCTTGGAGAGGAAGAGCTTACTTCCTATGGTCTAGTTTCCTTACGCTTAAATTGAAAGGCAATACAGAATCTTATTCCACTTCTGCCTTGAGTAAGAGCAAATAATTTACTTTCCTTATATAGCTTAGTGCTCTGAAAACTTAGTTCTTAAACCAGCATTATTTTACATGAACCTTTTCATCAGATGCAATCTTACCACTTGTCAGACTCTACCCCAGTATACATTACAAAGCTGCTTAGTAAGAAAAGTTGTGTGAAAGCAGCTTCTATTAACCAATCACATGAGATCCTGCATCATCCCCAGTAGCAGCAGTCTGCTGGCACCCACAGAAATAAATTAGCACGTTTACATCATTTCTGACAGCTGATACAGTACTATAACATACAGACCTTGGGGAAGCAGGCCAGTATGCAGAAATAATTCTTTAACATGTAAACAGGAAAACCGATCTGTCCAGTCACATAGATCAACAGCTGAAGCTACCAGAGGACCTATTCTGCCTCCTTTCTCCCCAGTTTCAGTATCTTTGCTGATGACTAATTAAGACAATAAGACATTTAATAGCAAAATCTTCTCTGAATGACTGCTTGTTTAGCAATGTATACAAAGTTGTGTTTACAGTAAAATGTTACTTGTTTTTTTACAACCCATAAAATCAACATAAAAATGTTCCAAACTTCAGAGCCACTGATAACAGAAACCAAACAGCAGACAAGTTATCTGAAAGAAGTTAAAAAAGGACCATGGTAATTTTACCAATCCTCTAGTGTTTTCTGTGGTATATTTAAGATTTCCCAGTCATGCTGCCGTAAGACATATAACAGCAGGTGTATTTCTCAAGATGGTGAGTTCCGCAACAGAACTAGGTTGGCATTTTCTGTATTTGCCTGGAGCCTACAGCTACCAGCAAGGTCACACGTTGCAAAACTGATTTGACAGAAGGCAGATCCTCAGAAATCACAGCTGCAGTGCAGGATTAGGAACAAGTGTGTAGCCATGCACAGAAACTTAAGTGTTAATTTCTCTATCAGAAAAAATATATGGTCTGTTTTAGGATGCAGTCTAAATAAGCAGGATATTAAACTTCAAAGCAGGAAAGAAGTCCTCATGTTCAAAAAACCCACAATATGCTATAGAGCCCTCAATAATGGAAAAAAAAAACAGACACATTTTTGCTTGTCTGGGGAACATACAATATAATCACATTACTATTTTACATAGTGAGCTTAATTGCATTATTAGAGAAAACCCTGTACATGAAGATCTACATAGCTACTAAAGGACAAGAACTAGACAGATAAATCTTACCCCATCAGGTGTAATATTGTTCTTTATGTACTGGGAGAACTGTTTTTTGTAAGCATCTTCATCCTCCTCCATCAGGTAACGCATATAATCTGCCACGTTTTGGCCCATAATGTGCTTGCGGTGAACCTCCGCATTGAATTCTTTACTTTCTGAGTCGTAACCAGGGAAGCGTTTGGTACTGTGAAAGAGCAGTTAAATGCTGAGTAACACATATTCCTCAAACACTCTGATTCAAAGGCAGGTTCCACAAAGAAACGACTGAGCTCATATTCTGCTATAGGTAACTGAGAAATAGGACACTAATTAAAAATGGAAAGATAAAGAAAATGAATATAAAGAAAAAAAAATGAAACAGAAGATTTAAAGTTCATCTCAGCTGCCATCAGTCCCGTCTTGAAACTATGCAGTCCATCATTTACACACCATGGACCTATTAGAGTGGTCAGTCATTGGGGTATCATCACACAGCAGCCAGGTTAGAAACAAATGAAGAATTAGTAAAAACATACAAAAAGACAAAACAAAAACACGAACAAGATGACACAACTCCAGGACAGCAAGAGAGAATACAAAAATCCACAACAGAGATCAGATGTTTTTTCCCTTCTTTGCTGTCTGAAAGAAGCAGGCAAGTGCAGTGACACTGCTAGTGCCAAAAATCTTGATTCCGTCACGTGTTACCTCTGACAAAAATGACCAAACCTCAAATGGCTTTTTTTTTTTGTTTCTGGATCTCATATGTACACACAGCAAAATTAACACCTACATGCAATTTGCTGAAGTCTTGAAACAACAGGAAAACTAAGGAATATTTACTGAAGTGCATTCAAACACCGGATGGTTTTAAGTGAAAGCAGTGAAGTGGTTCCTTGGCTTCTAAAAATTTAACAGCATCTCTTAGTAGTCACAAGAGTCATTGCAGCACTACTAGAATTGCAACTTGGAGTAAAAAAAGCCCAACTAAACAAAAAAATATTCCAGAACGTACGCTAAATTAATCATTACCAGGTTATAAAAATAGCTATCTCAGCATAAAAATGACACTACAAGTAGGCTGTCACACACAGAATTGTCTCAGGTAACTCCAAAGTAGTTTTTCCAGAGATGATTACCTGTGAGGGATGGACAGACCACCATCCACTGCGCCCTTCAGAGCACCAAAAACTTTGTTTCCAGTAGTAGTTCTGGCAAGACCTGCATCAAGGTAACATGTGAAAGCACCAGGCTTTCCATCCACACTTTCCACATTGTATTCATCTCCAGTCACTTCCACTTGGCCTTCATAGATCTTATCAAGACCAAATTTATTCAGAAGCTGCGGGGAAAAATAAAAGCCAAAACAATAGCAACACTTCTGATCTTCTGCCCATTTAAAGCCAAAATGGAGAGTCACAAAATTAAAATACAAAAGTTGCAATGGAATCTTCATACTTTCAATGATTTTTTTTTTTACAAAAATTACACATTCCATACTAGTATTAACGCTTATAATAACCACTGAAATATAACAGTCATGTCAATTGCAATCTCCTGGTCCAACAGGTACACTAATAATCTTCAGACCTATCCACAAGCTCATAGGAAAATGGATGAATACAGCTTACATGTATTTAAATTCTTATTGAAGGTACATTTCTTACATTTTTGTCCTGACTCCCTCCCTCCACCAAACTTAAGTGCAGAGACTTAAAAGTGGGCTGCCAGAGTTGAAACTGCATGTTGTCATACTTCTCTTTGTGATTTGACAGTCACAAGAGGCCATCAAATCTATATGGTAAAGAGTACAAGTTAGCATTCAGACAAGCCCACAGAATCTAGATCTATACTTCCAATACCACTTAAGACAGTGAGCTAGCTTTCCTGTTTTTAAGAAAAACAGAGCAACTCCTTCTAGACAATTTGACAGATACCTACCCTGCGTGCCAACAGCAGACCTGTACAGTACGCTGCTGCATAATTGGTCAGGCCAACCTTCACACCATATTTTGGCAGCTCATGGGCATACGCAGCACAGACAATCATGTCGCCTTCAATCCTGGCATAGGCAATCTGACAACAGTAAAAAAAAAAACACAACACAAAACAACACAAAACAACCATTAGTTTTCTCACTGTAACCGTGGGCTCAGTTTACCACTTCTTTGATATCTACTTAAGCCAATAGGAACTTTGTATAGAAATGTCCAGCAAACTGCTTTTCTTGAGAGCTCAAGGAGCTCTGTTTCATTTTTCTTTTCAGAAATTTCTTATGGCGTAATTAACTCCTCAAGTACTGAAGTATTCAAATCCATATTTGGCTTTGAGAAAGTAAATGATGGCAACCACTTTTATTTATGTCTTCATATAAAACGAGAGACCAGGAAACCGCCAACAAAAGCAACACTTCAAAGAATTTTTACGTATGTAGATGGATTCTGTCCTACTTTCTGCACGTAGTTCTCAAATAACACAGAACACTACTCATCTCCGAAAAATGCAAAAATATGAGTGTTTGTGAGGACACTTCATTACGAAGTGACTGCATTAAGATATAAGATCCTTGTAATCTCAGGGGTCTCCTGTGAGACAGCAATAGTATCAGAACCGTCTCCCTTTGACTTCCACACCTCCTCTGCCTCTAGAAGTTGCTCCTCTCTCTCTGGAGTTTCCACCTCTGGAAAGGCACAACTGGTCAGATGATACCTGCCACCACTTTTTGTTTTGAATTTCAGAGATAAAGCAAGCTCATCAAGGTCATACAGTTTAGTCTGAGCTGATTAAAAACGGCACTCTTTACTATTCTCCATAGATAAAACTATTTAATGAAGAAAGAAACAACAAGAAAACTTTCTACCTTCAACCTTACCAATGTGTATTATGATAGAACGTTCTGGAAATGAACCAGGAAAATGAATCACAGTAAGAAACTGCATTATGTGATGCAACATACAACTGCATACCACAAAAAGGTGCTTACTACTCTTATTTATCAGTCTCCTTTAATCTCAGTGAAACGATCTTAAGGCCTATCAGCTTCACATGATCCAATATCACAGTAAGAAGTCCTGAAGGCCAGGGCACCTTCAGATACTACATAACAGAAGTGAGCTGACAGGTCACACAGCAGTTTTCAAGCAAACAAAAAAAAACACCTCTCTTTTCAAAGCTCTTCAAAGACAGCAGAAAAGATAAAAAAAAGTTTTTCCCTAAAACCTTTAACATACTTCAGCATCTTTAGAAGAGTACAATCTCATATCACAACCTTGTTTTACAATGTTGACATTAGTAAAATTATTCTGTATTGTGACTATGGTGTGTTACTGACATTGTGTCAACCTTAAAGATCGTTCTCCAAGAAGCCACAGAGCAATATAAGAACTGCTTAGACTTCAAAACAACCAGCAAGTGCCCCATCAATCCCCCTTTTCTGTTCATTTCCAGGAGGCTGACAAATAAGTGGCAAGCACCACAGAACTTACCTGGCAAATGATGTCTCTGTTAGTAACACGCACAATCATTCTATACTTTGGGGTGTTGTACTTGTTTTTATCCTGAATTACCAAACGCTTGCGAGCATAGTAATCCGTTTTTCCCTCTGAAAAACAACAGTTACAGTGTGGAAAACATTTTAGAAAGAAGTAACAATATTTGTCAATATAATGTAATTCAGCAATACAGGGAGTTGAGCCATACCTCTCCTTCTCCTGAATTTTACTTGGTATCTCTTGAAGTAGGCCTTATTCTTGACAACTTTCACAAACCCCTTGAATAAGAAAAATAAGATGTTACTGACCTGGAACCACATAAGCCAAATCCATCCAAACTAAATGAATCATTATTAATAAAACTGTAGTGGACCAGGAATAAAATGACAGGTTTTCTTACACAACGAGATTAAAACCATCTTAAGGAAGAGAAAGCAGGATTTTTACCCTTAACACAAACTTTTCTGCCCATGACTTCACGTTTTCAAGAGAGAAAGAAAAATTTTATCTACTAATGACACGTTTTCTGCATAGGCTGCCACGACTACTCACTGCCAGTCACTCCCACAGAGCAGTCGCTCGGCCATTTCACCCCGACTCCCCCAACCAAAAACACGAGCCGTCCTAGCACCGCCCCGACTCAGACGCCCCCCACGCCCGCTGCTCTCAGGGCAGCTCCCCGCGGCAGGACGAGGCCGGCCTGTCAGCCGCCCGCTCCCCAGCCACGACCCCAGCGGGCCCGGCCCCAGCTGCCGCTCGCCCGCCCGCGGCTCCCGCTCGCCGCCACCCGCCCGAGGCCCGGTCTCGACCCGGCACCGTGCCGGCCGCGGCCAAAGGGTGAGCCGCGAGGGGCTGCGGGGGAAGGAGACGGAGGGGACGAGCCGAACCGTGCCGGAGGACCACCGCAGGGCTCCGCCGGAGCCGCCCCGATCCGCCTCGCGGCGCAGCCCCGGTGCCGCGGGCGGCCATTGCCACGCCAGAGCCTCAGCGGCCGGCGGCGGGCTCGGGTTAATCGGGCTCCATCCGGACGAGCGGAGTCGCGCGGCGGGCGCGGAGCGGAGGGCAGAGCACTCCTATGCGCGAGGGTCCCGTACGGGCCGGTACTGACCATCGTGCCAGGTACTGTCCGGTCTAGGCCTAGGCCGGGGCCCGCTCCGCACGACAACTGCAACGACTGCAGGGGGGAAAAGGCCGCTCCCACTGCGCAGCCGCGGGTCCTAGCCTGCCCAGCGAGGCGGGGCGCCGCCGCACGCCCTTCCTGTGAGCCCGGCGCGCGCCCTCTGCCGGCCCGGAGGGGCGCTCGCACCGCGCCGCTGCCTGGGACGGGGTGCGAGGGCGGGAGCGCTCCTCTGAGCTCCGGAGGTGTGACGTGCGCGGGAAAAGCCACCGCCTGCCGCCCCTCTGCGGCACCCGGCGTAGCGCCGCCCCGCGGTTCCCTACCGCCTGCCTCGGCAGGTGCCGGCACGGGGCGCGCGGCAGCACGGGATGAAAAACAATGGTTTTGGTATTAAAGATCTTTATCATATTAAGTATTTTATTCACTTTTTTTCCTAGGGAACGTTGTCGCGGTTGACCAATCAGTAAATAACTAGAATGGTAAGCTGACCAAAACCCAATTCAACGCTATTGCTAAAATAGAGCTGCTGGTATTTGGTCGAAGAAACCAAGAGCGCGTTACAGCTGTCGGATGGATGAAAGAAGGAAGGAGGCAGGAAGGAAGGAAGGAAGGAAGGAAGGAATTAAGGAAGGAAGCAAGCAAGCAAGCAAGCAAGCTCCCCCCGGTAGGACAGAAAGCGGCGCGCTCCCCTCCAGCTGCGGAAGCTCGGCGCTTTCCTTGCTAAGGGCCGCCGAGCTCCCACGCCCCGCCCCTCCCTCACAAATTCGAGGCCTCGTGCTGCCAGTCGTGATGCCGGCTGGAGCCGTGGCTGCGGTTCGGAAGGGCTCCGAACTCTTTGAGGTATAAGCTCCGATTTTTGATATTGCGATGAAGTAATTTTTGCAGGTA